GGACAATACAAACTTCACCAGCTTCAGGAGATGGGTATCTGCACAAGAGAGCTTGATCAATGGCTCAATGTCACAAAAAAAGTGATCAATAACATTTGGCCCACAGAAGGGGAACCAGGAGATCATAGGAGAGAGGCCAGAGAAGAAGCCCCCAGCCCAAGAAGCCAACCCTAGTTGGAAGGACATCTGGGTGCTCATGATGGTGGAGTATCTGAGTGGGATGCAGATGGCCACATAGTGATCAAGTAACATGACAGCCAAGAGAATGACTTTGGTCGTGCCAAAAAAGAAGTAGAAATAGCATTGTGAGATACATCCAGGTACAGAGACAGTCTTTTCCAAAGAGACAAGATCTTTCATCATTTTTGGAACAATGGGTGTTGCCACCATGATATCCGGGAAAGAGAGATTGCAAAGGAAGAAATACATGGGGCTGTGGAGTCGACAATCAGCCAGTGTGTCTGAGATGATGGTCACCTTCTCAGAGACTGTCAGTATATAGATTATGAGAAACACAATGAAGAAGAGGACAACCAGTTCCCAGACCACGGGAAAACCCAGAAGTATGAATTCAGTCACCACAGAGCTCTGGTTAAACATCAGCTTGGCAGACATCTGTGACTTCAGCTTGGCAAGAGGGTCTTAATAATGAAACAGAAAAATGTATTTCAATGCAAATGTTTTCTTACTCCTGGTAGGTATCATTAATTGAACTCTGGGAGAGGGGACTTCTAACACAATGTCTCTTTCCTTCTAAATATAGATTTTATTGACAGGATGATTTCCACTATCTCATTAATATGGGGTAGAAGCTTGTACCTGGAATCTAAAAACTGTCATAACTTAGTTTGGAAGGAACTTTTGGAGGACTTGTCCAGCCCTTTGCTCCAATTAATCTAACTTCAAAATTAGGTCATATTACTTAGGGTCTTGCCTACTATTTGTGACCATGTCAGAGGATGGAGATCCCACAACCTCCGTGGGTTCCAGGTCTGGTCTTAACAATGCTCAAAGGAATTTCCTTTTCTCCTACCTAGTTAGAATTTCCCACGATGCAATTTTACCAGACTGCCTCTTCATCTTTCAAGGTGCACCTCTGAGAAAAAGTGTGACTCCATCTTCTCTACAACCTCCCTTAGAGAGTTGAAGACTGATGCTAGATACCAGGAACTGCCACCCCCACCCCCACCCCCCCCCGCCCCGCTTTTGCCTTCTCTTTTCTAGTTGTCACCAAAAATCAGGAATGAAACTCCTTAACACTGGGTATATTAAAGAGCAGGCATTACTTTATTTGGCGCTGGGTGCATGGGGGATCTCTCCGCCTAGCATGGACACCGTACATTGCATCAACCATCCCTTATATGGTTCTTCGATATACATATGCATCACATTTCTTGGAATAATCATACTTACTCATTACAGTTCCTAGAACTAATTATAATATCTGCATAGTCTTTCACGCGTGCATTTTGAGTCCTTTAGGAGCTTCTACAGGGGTCTTGGGTGGTTTCTAGTGGTCTCTGGTGGTCTCTGCAGGAGGTGAACTTTTCCTTACATAGTCACAAATTGGCTCATCACCACCCTTCATTACAGTTCCGGTTGTCCTTGTCTGGTTTCTGCTAGTTCTTATCCATCTCATGATGTGCTCATTAGTTTAGGCCTTGTATGCTTGACGTATGCTTGATTAATCCAGCCATTTATCTCGCAACTATTCACAACATAGTCAAAGCAGATGCAGTTCTCACGGTCTCTCTCCTCATATGCTCAGTCTTCCAGCACCCTAACTTTTTCATGGTCTCTTCTGATATTTCTTCCATTTCCTCCACATTAATCTTGTACTTAGCAGTGTGAGGGCAAACCAAACATTGTTCTCCCGTTTCTGGCCCCACTACTGCCAATTAGAGGGGAACAACAATTTCCATTTACCCGCTGGATGCACTCTGGCTAATGCAGCCTGGTGGGTTGCCAGCCTTCATCAATGCAAACGCACAGTGCTGACTCTTCATCAACTTATTGTCCACTAGGACTCCCACATAATTTTCTGGACAGCCATTCCTTAGTCAGCCAGTCTAATGTTACTCATCAATTTTTTCAGTACATAAACTACCCAAAATCAGTTTGCATGCACTGCAGCATCGTGCTTTCAGGACAATGAAGGTCCTGCCCACAAAGAATTGTAGTCATGTTACATACCATGGAATAACTAACGGAGCAATCATTGTGGCATTCATATGAGATGAGGGATAGCATGAACCTTGCTGTTCTGCATCTCAGGAAAATTTACACTAGGTTGTACTGGTCTCCCCACTCCTCCCATGTCTCTGAATGTTTACCAATTTACACAAAGTAGGAAAGTTCTTGCAGAAAAGTTTGAGAACAATAGGAGAGTCCAAATGTTTATTTGAATGGAATGGCAATCAGCTGTAAGACATTGTTTTCAACTATGTTCCTTCCTTTCTAGGCAGGAAAGGATTTGCACCTCTTTACAGGAGTTCAGTAAACATTGGGCATCTAGCTCTCTGAGGGTGGGTCTGGTAGCTCTGTTTTATTATTTTTGAGGTCTTGGTGTTATTCCCAGGCATGGGAATTCTTAAAACTTCAAATGTATTTGTGGAACAGCAATATTTGCTTTGGTTTGCTTCTTGTAAGACAGGAAAAAAATCTACCAGATCATTATTGTTACTGTTTATCTATGACTAGTTAGAGATTTAGACAAATAAAAGCTTAAATCAGTTGGACACGTACACCAGTGTAACTGCAATTGGATGCAAAACTTGTCCACTTGTAAATGTTGGAGTTTGCTTTCTTAAAAGTAAATGATTCATGGTAAACTGTCAATCTCTTACACTATACACTTATACTATACTATTATACTACTAATGATCAATAGTAACTTTGGAGTTAGGATCTCATTGGGCTTGGCACTGCATATATATAGAACAAACCCATTTTTAGTTGATTGCCACAAAACATTCACAGTCTAAATATATGGCAACAGACAAACTTTTTCCTTTAATAGAAAAGTACAAACAGTTGTTGTTTGGTCTCAATATGCCAACAGCTTAGTGATTCAGACTAACAAAGGCATTTGAAATCAGAGGGCTGCAGGTTTCTAATACACTTCTGTAGATCTGGACCACAAGGACCTAACTCCTTTATGAATTCTTTTAAGAAGAAACTTTTGTTTCCAGCCTAAAAAGCTTTGCACAAAAGTTCTTATTTTGCCCTCATTCTATATGAAAAAAATCTGGCTTTGATGCCATAGACCTGGGCTCAAGGTACTAACCAGATCAGTGTGCAACTCATTTGAATTAGCATCACATAGCCACCATCTCACCTGGAGCTTCTGGGGAACTAATGCCTAACCTTTCTTTTAGAGGAGGCCTCGTGACAGAAGTACATATGGGTCTAATGCCACAGCTCCTCTATCATCGTGCACCAAGGGAAGTAGGTGAGGCGTGTACGAATACAGCAGTCACTCCAATGCTGCTGCTCGTTGATATCCAAAGGAAGAAATGAGCCCAGAGGCCTTGAGTTATGTGTATGTCAGCTGAATTGAAGAATGAGTTGCATTGTCACTTGTGCCTAACCAGCCTCCACAGAACTGTCTGTATAATCCAGGAAAGTGATTTGGTTTGTTTGCAGAAATCTGTAAATTAGATGTAAGCTACTTTACTATCAATATATACAATCAATCAGCACCTGCTGAGAATGGTGCAACTTCCTAATGCAGGTGTCTAAACTATCTGGGCTGAGTTGCCACCTGGAGGTGCTCCATTACTTGTGAACTGCTACATGCAGACAGGTTTCTGGTCTCCTAGAAGTCTACCTATTAGATGGTAATAACAGATGGTGTCACTGACATAATCTGCTCCTGTGATTTGCAGTGAAGAAACCGAAGTTTATGAAGAATCAGGCAACTGCTTTCACTGAACACTTAATGGGCAACACTAGGATTATTACCTTGTCTGGCATTGTCTTTTATGATGTTCTGTGGAACTGGTTTAACAGAGAGAAGGAGAACAATTAAAATACAGATGGTGAAGATTATAAAGACATTTTACAGAGAACAGGACAGAGGAGGAGGTAGTTCTTGGACATTTGAAAGAGCTATGGTTGCCTGAAAAGTTTTAGGTTTTACAGTGAGACTGAACTTGACAAAAGATCAATCTGGGGAGCAAGCTCCACATTGTTTATTGTTCGCTCAGTCAATGTAATAAAGTGAGTCATCATTATCAATAAAGTTTGTTGCAAGAAGGCTTCTCCTTCCTACAAGACTCCGTGCTGTCCCGGGGTAGATATCTTCCCTCTCCCTTATTCTTTGTCAGTTACTTAAAAGCCTTCATCATTTGGTGTTGGAGAATATGCCTGGAGAAGAGAGACAGAGCTCAGCCTTAGCTACTGCGTTAGAATGGCAGGAGTGTGAAACATCTTAGTCTTAAACCCTGACTTTCATCTTGTTACAAAGGTAACTCACTTACTATTCATGTGAAAAATTTTGAAAACAGACTCCTAGGAAAGTGGATTTATATTCTTGCAACACCTCTAGTTTCAAATACATCACGGAGTGTAGAAGCCTCAATAAAAATAGGATCTCTTCTTGTCCCTTAAACTTTGTCATGGTTTTCTTAGATTGGAAAGAAATTGGAAGAGATTAGTAAAAACTGACTTCGGTGACATGTTTTTCTTTTGAAATCTTATTTTAATCCTTTCAGCTTTCTTTTTGAACGTTGGATTTGGCTGTACAGTGGTATTATGAACTACAGCAGCTGTATTATTTTCCGTATTTTGAAATCAGAAATAAACAAAAAGCTAGTACTGATGGAAAAGAAAACAGTAGTTTATTGATAGCATGCTTTCATGTTAAGAGAGTCATTTCCCTTTCAATTCTCTGCTGATTCATGTTTCATATACATTTAAATTTAAAATACAGCATTGAATCCTCCCTCTCCTCTCCCCCCCAGTTATTCACAACACGAGACACCTAAGTAAATGTTGCAATGGAAAACCGAACCATGCTCAAGAATTTCATCCTTGTGGGTTTCACAGCTGGCAGGAAGTTGCAGATCTTTATCTTTGTGGTTCTCCTTATCATCTGCATCTCAATTATAATTGGAAACTTAGTGATTGTCACCATCAGCATCGTGGACCGTGGGCTACTTTATTTCGAACTTCTCACTCTTGGAAATTGGTTTCACTTCCTCTGTCATTCCTAAGGTCTTGTTCAACCTAGCATCAGGAGAAAACACAATTTCTGTGACTGGTTGCTTTGTTCAATTTTTTTTATATTTCATCTTTGGCATGACAGAGTTTCTTCTCTTGGCAGCAATGTCATTTGACAGGTATGTAGCCATCTGCTACCCCTTGTCTTACTCCACCATAATGAGCAATGGGCTTTGTAACTTCTTAGTGCTTGGTTCATGGGGGCTGAGTTTTGCACTTCTCATTGGCCCATCTTGTCTTCCAGTTACCCTTTTGTAACCAAAACATTTCTTCTGTGACAGTGCACCTTCGGTAAAACTTTCCTGCACAGAAACACCTGTTCTAGATCTCGCTAACTTCTCAATAGCTGTTTTTTCTCTCCTGGGCACTCTTGTTATCACAGTCCTGTCTTATGCCAATATAATTTCCACTATATTGCACATTTCATCTGCTTCAGGGAAGCAGAAAGCCTTTCCACTTGTGCATCTCACCTTATTGTTGTCTTTGTCTCTTATGGGAGTTGCATTTTCATGTATGCTAAACCTAAACACATGGGTGGGCTTGACATCAGCAAAGGGATAGCTATTCTCAACACGGTGGTATCTCCTCTGCTCGATCCATTCATCTTCAGTCTGAGGAACAGGCAGGTTCAAGAAGCCTTGCAAAAATATTTCTCCATGTGCAGTTCTTACAAACAATTCTAAGTCTGATGAGAAGTGAAAAGTAAAGAACCTTTGCAGGGAACCACCTTAAAGGCTGAAGATGTATAAATATTCCAAGTATGCATCTGTGCAGTGAATGTCAGAAACTTTGTTATTGTCTCTGATCTGTTGTCCCTCACTCACTTTTTGCCTACATGACAAAACCTGGTGGAAGATGAGTCTCCAGTACACTTTAGCAATGTAGCAGCTGGTTCTGAAAAGAGAACCAGGCATCCGATATACACCATACTGGAAATACAAGAGTGATTTAGGAGGGCAAGAGTAAGAGGAGAAAGACCACATTGGTGTATGAAGATGGACTGCAGCAAATTGAACTTGCCATAGGAATGTACACTGGGTGAGGTTACAGAAGAAGGAAGTTTTTATTTGATCTAGAGTGGTCAGTGCTGTGAATTTGCAAACTTTAGTTTACAAGCTCTGTTTATTCTGTTTCTGTGCTAGTGGAATTTTTCTTTCAGTTAGGAGAAACAGAACCATTGTTATTCTGTCAGGGATCCTGATGGGTGGTGGGATAGTTTAAGGTATATGTATTTGCTTACTGCCTGAGCCCTTGCCTTGTAATGGTTGTGTTGTGTTACAGTTTTGCCTTCTGTGGGAAGTATGGACTTTGAATACTAATTAATGAAGAGCCTCTAAAAATCTGTCAATGCCTATCTTCTGGAAGAGCACTGAGAGTCTAGCGGTTAAGATGGTATTTGTACTTTTGGGGGCCTTGGGTGGAGATATATTCAACTTATTCTAGTGGGAAAACCCTTGAACTTTAAACATACAAGAAAATGAAAAACTCCAAACTTGTTTTGGAACACCTTGCAATTCTGAAGCTGTTAGGAAGATTTTCAGGGTGGCCACCTTTAAAATCTGAAACCAGAGTTCAGAAAAAGAAAACTTTGTGCTTTTCAAGTTCCTGTTTGTTCTTTACAATTGTCACCTGCAGCAGAGGCCATACCTGGTTGGGCTTGTCTAAGAAGATTCTGGGCATGAAGATCATATTGATTTTCTTACAACCAGCTCTTTCCAGATGAATTTTCTTTCCTAGCCTCACTGTTTTGCTTGACCCCTATGGCAGACCCTGTTAATTGCAAGTATTGTTTATAGCACCTTCATTTTTGAGTCTGAATTGAAAAGACTATTTTATTTTAAGAATAAAAAGAAAATGTTATATTATAATAAAATCAGGTATTTTGTTATTTATTTAGTTTTACTCAGGAAAATAACCCTTCAGCCTTTGCCCAAAAGACAGCTTCCTTTTCTGGTTTCTCAAAATGGCTATGTAAAAATACATTTGTCATTTTAAGCCTTTCATAATCATGTAAGTCAAAAAGCAAAATAAAAGTGGATCCTTTCAACGTATCATGTGCTTCTTCCCTGATGCTAATTATGAAAACTACAAAAGTTTTAATTACTGTGGGACCATCATTTCTCTTTAGAGTTGCCAGGCTTAGGAAAAGTTAGGAAAGTGTGTTAATTGAATGGTCTGGAACTAGTAAGCTTGAAAAGTTTCTCCAGTTGTTCTTCAAAACTATTTTTCTTGCACGGAAGTGAAACATTTAGTGTGTCTAGTGAAAGAAGAAAAAAAAACAAACTTGAAGCTGTTTTGGTGACAGATGCAGGACAGGATTTTAGCAAACACTTGAAAACATGAGCTCAGTCATTAGCTAGTGTCTCCGTGAACACACTTTTAGGTCATAGAGTAACTGCAAATCAGTCTAAGAGTGTGTCACATCTCCACATCACTACAGTTAAGAAAACCACAAAACCAGACATTCCCTTTTTCCCTTTAACTCTTGCTAGGTAAAGCTTGGGTGTGGTGGGAATTAGTTAGTTAGTTAGTTAGTTGTTTATTTATTTATTTTTTCCCACGAGAGAAACTAGAAATGTTAGTAGATTTACAAAGTGTGTCTCTGTTCTAGACTTCAGCATAATACCTGCAATGGGATTTCATTTAACTGATTACTACTTTAAAGAGAGCATTTTCAGAGTTTTGTAAAACATAACAGTATATGTGCTCCTGAACCTACAGGACTGGGTGAAATCAAAGATGATCTTTGGAGGATCTTAGCTGACAGTATTAGTGAAGACAACAAAAGGGATTTTCAGTAAGACTGGACTTGCTTAATGGAGACCTTATAATGTAGATTTAAAAACTCACCAGTCTTCCTATTGCTACTGCTCTAGCAGGGACCCAATCTTACTGAGGGAGGCATGGAGGTTTCATGGTTGTTGTAAAATGTGCAAGTAGGGTGGCCAAGCGGATACTGTTACAATAGTAGGTAGGGGAGGAGGTAAATCAGGCCATCCCTGTACAAAGTAGTAGGTTCGGAACGGAAGTCCTGTTATTGAACCCAGCTGCTCTTTTGTGTAATTTTGTCACATGGATCAAGCACAAACTTGAACCTATTTATGTTGCTTGCCAACCGCAAGACCCAACTTGGGATGTTGCATCTTGGTGGGTATCACCATAGGCAATGCCTCTGAACAAGCGTGAGTGGGCACAGCTTTGCCCATCACAGATGTGTCCCCTGATCACAGAAAGGCTAGAAATATAGTAAAGGGCATTAACTGTTTGTCTGAACACATTTCTCCACAGAAATGGGAGAAGATTCAGGACTATTATTATGTCTGTCACGTTGGTATACTGTGAGTCTAGCCATTGGAACTGCAGTCCTAGTTTGCGGGGGTAAAGTCCATGTATAAATTACTGGGATCATTTTAAGGATTTCTGAATCTTGATTTTGCAGAAGATGTAATGAGTAATTCAGATATTTCTGTCTGAAACACAACAGAATTCCATTTCTGTACCAGTTCTTCACTAGCTCCACAAACATACTGAGGTGGGAGGAGAGTTAATAAACTGTTCCTAGTTTTCCCCTCAGAAAAATTAACCCTGAAAAGAAAGAAAGAAATAAGAACTAACATGACACTTAGAAGAAATGTCTTGCCATTTTATTTAAAACTAGATATACAGAGAAAAATATCAAGAGTAGAAATATCTTTGGGAAAGGTTGAAAAGGAGCAAATCTAAACTTATCTACAGGAAAAATTAATCAAATGTCCTTGGAAATAGAAAATATACAATTCATGGGCTTCTTCCTACCTTCCTTTTTAAAAAATATATAGATTGGATCAAAAGCCTGTCTTTTGGGAAAAAAAATGTCCTCCTCAAAGCTTCTTCCAGGACTTTCTCCTCAGACGGTGGATGGGGGTGTCTGGGGAAGGGTATGACCAGTGTCATCAAAGCAGCAGTAACTTTGCAGAATTCCAGGGAGTAGCTTTGGTTGTGTCACACACTAACAGGCACAGAATAACATTGTTAAGACTTGAACAGACAGTGATAATGAATGATAATGATTCAAAACTAACCACTGGCGATGTGTATTATTAATGAATGTCAACCTAGTGAAGTTCTGTTTTAAAGTTTGAAACTGGTCTAATTTTTCAGTCATCTGAACATTCCCATGACAGTGGTGACTAATTCCTTCATATATATATACATACACACACACACGCGCACAATTCTTTGACGTTTATACACATATACTTAGTTGCAACACAAGGCAACTGATGCATATACGGGCTGATATCTGCAAAAGTAATGTTTCAGAAGAAATGTCCAGTTTTGTGGGCACAGAAGGGTAGCTTGGTTTGTATGATGGTAGCACCAAGTGTGGGTAGAGATGCCATCATTCACCTGCTAAGGATGAACATGGAGCATGATCAACCATTCAGAGTTACAGTATAGTGCAACAGGTTGCAAGTGACCACTAACATCAATTCAGCTTGGATGAAGGCAACTGATGGATGTCCAGGAAGATGGAGAAGAAGGCTGGGATTCACAGGTAGCCACTGGAAAAGCCTTTATTTCCAAGATAAGGCTGACAAAGATTTTAGGGGAAATCAAGGTGAACAGAGTACCTAAGAAGGGCAAGTGGCTGAGGAAGAAGTACTTTGAAGTGTGGAACTGGTGGTCAAACTCACTGGTGGAAATTATGACCATGTTCTCCAGGGCAGTGAGCAGATAAATCAGCAGCAGAGTGAAGATTTGCATCTTTCAGGTGGAAAGGCCACCAGAAAGAATTCCCTGTCCCAGGTCTGATTGAGAGGATCCCTCTGAGTGCCTAGCCTGTTGAGAGGACCACCTGAAAGGTGGGATAAACAGTCACTTCAATCTGAAGTTACACAGCATCTCTGGGGAGATGACAGATGTGAAGATGTTGCCAAAAGATGGCAGCTGCTAAGGAAGAAGTATGTGGGTGTCTGGAGGTGCTGACTGTAAAGGTATGCTGATTGAGAGGATCCCTCTGAGTGCCTAGCCTGTTGAGAGGACCACCTGAAAGGTGGGATAAACAGTCACTTCAATCTGAAGTTACACAGCATCTCTGGGGAGATGACAGATGTGAAGATGTTGCCAAAAGATGGCAGCTGCTAAGGAAGAAGTATGTGGGTGTCTGGAGGTGCTGACTGTAAAGGTATGCGGAAGATCATAGAATCATAGAATCATTAAGGTTGGAAGAGACCTCTAAGATCATCAAGTCCAACCGTCGACCCAACACCACCATGCCCACTAAACCATGTCCCTAAGCGCCTCATCTACCCGTCTTTTAAATACCTCCAGGGATGGTGACTCAACCCCTTCCCTGGGCAGCCTGCTCCAATGTTTAACCACTCTTTCAGTAAAGAAATTTTTCCTCACGTCCAATCTAAACCTCCCCTGGTGCAACTTGAGGCCATTTCCTCTCGTCCTTTCGCCAGTTACTTGGGAGAAGAGACCA